CCTCAGATATACTTGGTCACCCGGAACAACTGGACATGCAGTCTCTGTTTCCTCTCTGGGCTCTTTTCTTTTTTCCTGTAAATAGATAGCTTTATGTATGGCAGTTAATTTCTTCATATACGAGCGAAGTTCCATTTGTAATTGCTCTAGAGGCGGTCCTTTGTAGGGACCTCTACAATATGGCACAGGCATGGGTCGACCCGTAAGCATTTCATGTGGTGTTAAGTGCGTGTTCCTGTTAGGTTGCATGCGATAGCTCATTAGTGCAAGAGGTAATGCATCAATCCAATTAAGTTTAGTACTTTCACATATTTTGTTAATTTTGGCCTTGATAGTTCCATTAACCCTTTCGACGCACCCTTGTGCCTCTTAATTGTTACAATACTTGTTTTTCAGTTTTTTGTATGAATGCCGACCCATTATCTGAACTTATTTCTGATGGTATTCCAAATCTAGGAATTACTTCTCTTGTTAGAAATTTAATTACTGTTTCCAATAGATATTAGCTTTTGGCTCTGCAACCACCATTTGTGTTTCTGTTCCTATTGCGTCGATATATATTCCTTCTGGAGAACACCTAATTTGTAGCCCCAATTTACGTAATGCATCTCTTCCTAACAAATTGATAGGAGTCTGATTTGATACCAGAATGGGCATTGTTATACTTTGATTTTTTGTTTGTAGACACACTGGAGCTGTCATTGGAATTAATTGCATTTTTCCCGAGAATCCTATTGTCTTTGCGAATTTTCCAGACAAGGGGAGATGTGAGGCATATTTTAAATTTAAACAAGTATAGACAACACCTTTGTCTAGCACTGTCCCTGCGCACCCTTGATTAAAATTGGGAGTTGTGCAGCCAGTGGTCTGAGTGTCCCTTTTTCTCTGCCCTGTTCCCATTTTCAATTATCAAATAACTCCTCTCTTACATTCACATCCTCACTACTGTCGAACAACTTCTCCCTCTCTCCAATTTATTTCCCTCTTGTAACTTTTTTCCTGATTCTTTAATTTTCTCTTCTATTTCTTCTTCCATAGCCTCTACTTGTGCTTCAATTTCTTTATCTCTTCTCCTCATTTCTTCGAATACTTCCTCAATTCTTGTTCTATCTTCCTGGTTTGTTTTCATTTTTTCTAACGCTATGCGTGCCTGTCTATAACAATCTATCTGTAAATATCCTTCATTTTCTTTTCTCTGTTGCCTCTTTGTTTTTACAGCTGGTTCCTTTTTTTCTTCCAACTCTACTTTCCCTTCCATTTCCAGGTCTCCCGTTACTTCTACTGTTCCCTTGAGGATTGGGAACTGACCCTCCGAGGGCAAATAGGGGGGTGGCTCAGAAAATAACTTTTCCTTTTTCTTTGTCCCTTTGTCTGCCTCCCTCAGTATTTTTCTAGCCTGTTTTATACTTTTTAATGTGTCCTCTCCTTCCTTTTTAAACATGGCTATGACTTCTTTCTCTTTTTCCCTTTTTGCTTCTCTTTTTTCTCGTTTCTTACTGATGCTCTTATTTTTATCGTTTTTTATCAGAGTTTCCATTTCCTCACACAATGCTACATCAAATGTCCCTTCCTTAGGCCATTTTGTCATCATACTTTTTGTTCTCTTCTGCCATTTGTGTGAGATCTTATTAACTCTTTACACAGTGGATATTTTAATCCTAATATTTCCACAGGAGTGGCTGCCATACGTTTTCCTATAATATTACAATCCAATTTTAATGTAACTATTTTAACCAATTTCTCCTAATTTTAGTCTTTATTTTGTGACATGCATCTTTGAATTTAGTTTTTTATT